CAAAATTCCCCGGGGGATTGGAGTTGGAAAATTCCAGGTACGGGATCCCAGCGGGCGGAGGGGGATCGGCCCCAGGGACCCCCCCCCGGGCACCTGCACCGCAAAACCTCAGCACATTCAGAGCGAGGACCTCACCTCCTGTCTCCTGGCGGATCCAACCGTTTTCATCTCGGCTTTTGCCGAAATTGGGAGAGCTGCGGGATTCCCCCTGCCGCGGGTCCGGCTGCCAAGGGCTCCATCCCTCCGGAGCAGGAGGGTGGGGAAGAGGGGTTGTATTTTGGGGTACTCCAACCTGCATCATACCCTGCTTCCCCCCGTGCCCCTCCGGGCTGGGGCTGGCACAGCAGCACCCACAACCCGCAGGGATCTTTAGGAAGGGTGGAAAGGAAGATTTTGGAATCCAAAATTCCCATCACAGTCCTCATTCCATGATAAAAAAAACAAATAAGGGAGAATTTTTTTAAATTCCCATGAACCACCACCAAGTCCAGCTTAAATTTATCAACTATTAACTTATCAACTTTATCTTACTCCCAAGGGTCCCCGTTCCCAATTCCATCCCTCCTTTGGAAACACCCCCCCGGGGAACAGAACCCAGCTTGGATCTCACTTTGATTTGGCTTTTTCTCCCTGCAGGAAAACCTTTGCCCACCCACCCCTTCGAGGTGGCCGAGAAAAAACCCGACCCCTGCCCCCCTCCCAGGCACCGACAGCGGAGAAAACCCCGGGTTTTATTCTCCCAGGCTCAAGTGTTTGAACTGGAGAGGAGGTTCAAGCAGCAGAAATACCTCTCTGCCCCGGAACGGGAGCATCTGGCCAGCCTGCTCAAGCTCACCTCCACCCAGGTGAAAATCTGGTTCCAGAACCGCAGGTACAAGTGCAAGAGGCAAAGACAGGACAAATCCCTGGAGCTGGCTGCCCACCCGCTGCCCCCGCGCAGGGTGGCGGTGCCCGTGCTGGTCAGGGATGGCAAACCCTGCCTGGGGGGCTCCCAGCCTTACCCCGCCCCCTACGGCATCGCTGCCAGCCCCTACTCCTACAGCTCCTACTACAGTGCCTATAGCAGCACCCCCTACGCGGCCAGCTACGGAGGGGGCTACGCCGGGGTGCCCCCCAGTGCCACCCCCACCCTGAACGTCAGCTTGGGCACCACCAGAGCTGCTCAGCACCAGCCTTCCTGCTTGCAAGCAGGGATCAGGGCTTGGTAGGTGGAGGTCAGGAGCTCCTGAGAAGTGCTGAGGAACCTCCCCCTCCTCCCCAGCGTGGCCTTCATCAGGATGGGAGCTGCATCCAGAGGGTTTCTCCACCCCAGGGAGTGGGACATCTCCAGAGGATCCGTCTCCTCCAGGCAGCTGGTGTGGCCGGGTCTCTGCAAAGGCAGGTGAGGAGAGAGGGGGATGCTGCTGCTCCACCACTGCCACTTTGGGAGCCCGAGGACTGAGATCTTTTATTTATTTAAACACAAATAGTTCTGAGTCTGTCCCTTCCTGCTCCCACAGAGGACTTGCTCCTCCAGGATGCCAACGTGTGGCCATCGGGAGGCTACGGACACTGGTTTTCTTCCTAAGGACAACTGGAAAGCAGGGTCTGTGCACTCCCTTTTTTTATGAGCAGTATTTAATGCTTCGAGTGCCTCTAACCTTTGAAGATGTATTTCTGATTTATATTTCTTCATACCTTCCAGCACAGGTGTTGATTTCCATCCCTATTATTATTATTATTATTATTCTTTGCAATTAAAAACCAAACTGGTGAACTTGTGTGTTTTCATTCCTCATTTAGGATTTTGACTTCTCCACGCCACAATTGAGCATCAAAACCTGATCCAAAGCCAAAAAAAACCCACCCCAACCAACCAACCAACCACCAAAATCAATCTTAATACTAATAATTAATCCAAAAAGTTAATCACCTTGCAGTCCAAGCTGGGGGAGCTCCCGAGGTTTATCCCCCTCCTTAATTCCTGGAAGGTGTTTTCAGGTCTCTGTTGCTGTTCCCATGCTGGTGAAAGGGGTTTGCAGGCACACCCCCGGCCTCACACTGACAGAATAAACCCAGGGAGACCTCATCAGACCCATCCACTCATCAGGCTGGCCCCCCAGGGAAGGCTTTATTCACATCAGGGAGGGGGGGAACACACACAAAGGTCGATGCCTGCTCCAAAATGTTGGTTTAGCAGAGATCTTTCTGCTACAATTCCAAGGTCTGGAGCCAGACAGCACCCTGCCCACAAATCCCACCACACTGGACAGGGAAAATATCCCCCTTGCACCCTCTGGGCTGCTGCTCCCTCCTCCCTACTCCTTTCCTGACAGCTTCTTATCCTCACAGTGTTTGGTGAAAAGAGACTTGCAGGAGGCAATTAAGCTTTTATCTCTAATCCCACTCAGCCCCATCACCCCGACGTTCCCTCACTTCCCAAATGGGACATCCCTGACATCCAAATCAAACCAGAAAAACCCTCTCGGCCTGACAAGACCCTGGAGATGACTGGGGAAAGGTGACAGCAGCCCTGGGGGCTGCTCCTTCTCCTCTCCTTCATCCATCCACACTCACTCGGGGATATCTCCCCAAAATCAGCCGAGTCTCGGGTCCCTGCCTGGCTCTGGAGCAGCCAAAGGACTCGACAGGGTCCTTGCCCTGGGAAATGCTGCTGGCATCAGGGAAAGCCCCAGCAGGCAGCCCCAGACCCAGCAGAGGGGCTCCCCTGCCACTCTGAATGACACTGAGAGATTTCCCCTTCGAGGTTCAGCCATCAAATGAGGTAAATCACATCAACCCCCTCCCAAGGAAACACAGAAATCAAAGAAGGAAATTGCTACCCTGCCCAGCTCAGAAAAAAGTAAAGCCTGAAAATATGCATGGTGAAAATGGGCATGGTGAGCAATGAAGGCATCATTTATGCCCCTCCGTGTGTTTTGGAGGAGCTCCCTGGCTGGTCAGGACACCCTTAAAACCTGGTCTCTGCTGGACCCCCAAGTCACCAAAGCTGCTGCTTTAAACCTCCCCTTCTCCCAGCCCAGCTCAGAAAACACCCACGACACCAACCCACTGCAGAAATGGGCTTTGCCAAACACACACCCCCACAAAAAACATTCCCCCAAAGTCTTCTCCTGGACCTAAACCCCCATCCTGGGCCAAATCCCTGACTGCTCATCAGCTATGGGGTCTTTCCACTGAAGGAGCCAAGGATACAGGCACTGGCAGTGAGGGGACATGAGACCTGAGCACACAAGAGCCACCCAACGAGGCAGCCCAGGACAGGTAGGTCTGTCTTGAGCTGCAGATGGAGGGGTCGAGCATCAGGACAGCCCCAGGAGGTCTCACTGATGGTTACAGCAAAGCTGTGGCTGCAAAGTGAAGGTGTAACAGCCCAGCAGAACTCTTAATTGAACCCAGAAAATCATTAAGGTTGGAAAAGAGCTCTCAGATCGTCAAGTCCAACCACCAACCCAACACTCCCATGGCCACTAAACCATGTCCTGAAGCACCATGTCCACACAATTTTTGAACACCTCCAATGATGGGGATTCCAAAACCTTCCTGGAGGTGAAATAATCCACCCTGGAAGGAAGGGAACTGCCCAGCCTGGGGGGAGAGACCCTTCTACTGGATCATAAGTTCATGTAGTTGTGATAGAACCCACAAAAAGTTGTGGTAAAACCCAAAATATTGTGGCTGCTGAGGCCCTGGCTGCTCAGGCACGTGTGGGTCTCCAACAGCAGCAAGGGCAGCCTAAAATCAGCAGGGGTAGAGTCTCTGCTGGGGCAAAATTGGCTCCCAAATTCAGCAGGGTGTCCCCAGGGAGCAGCACATCTTTCCAAAGCCCCTTTCTCAGGCTATAGGAGGATAACGAGGCTGAATTCTTGAAGCTACTGAAGTTTTCCAAGCTTACAGGGAATAGAAGGACATTTCCCAAGCCAGACCCATCAGCAGGTTAAAGAAGGAGAGAAAAGGGCAAGTTAAAAGCAGGATTTGGGACACGTTTCCACAACCTGCTCTGGGCTTTGGGCTGCTGTAACCAAACACCCTCCTATAAAATCAACAAAGTCCTCAGGGGATTTAAAGGAAATCTATTCTTTCCCCTTTTTGAAGGGTAAAAAAAAACCCTGTGTCTGGATTTTCCAGCTGAAGAAGAGGGGCTGGGATTGAGGGAAGGGTTTAGGGATAGGAGATCTGATTGAGGCTATGTTATTCCAACAGCAAAAGGAGGTTGCAGACAACAGGGCTATAGGGGGTCAATATTTCTATATTTGCAAGGTGATTTTTTAACCACGTGCTGCCCACATCTTGGGGGGGCTGCAGCTCTTTGTGTGGCAAGCAGGGAGTTCTTTTCCAAACAGAAACTCCAGAAGAACAACCACAACTAAAATAGATGCTCAGAATATAATCTGTTGGAATAAAGAGCTCGACTCGTGGGTTTTCTTGGAATTGGGAAGGTTTTGTTCCTTTCAGGTGTCTTTGAACACAGGATGGTCCATAAAGGTGCTAAGGCTTCTTAAATAAATGCTGTCCCATTCCACAGCTGGTCAAGGAATTATTAGTTTGAGATTTAGGCTTAAATTTCATGTGAAATGCCCCTTTCTGTGCAATCTGGAGCCACACTCCCTACCTGTTGTAATTAAACTTTCATTCTAAAGCCCTTGTTAGAGCAGCTTTGCCAAGCTGATGAAAACATCTTTGATCTTTTTTCCCCTGTTTCTCACCAAACTGAAAGTGGAAGGTTTTGAAGAAAACCCTTAAAAATACAACATAAAAAAACCACCAAATCCTTTTATTTTCTGCACTTTTTTCCCCTCTGAAATCAGCATTTCCCCAAAGAGCTCTGGGGATTATCCTGGGACATAAATCTCCTCCATGACCAGGAGCAAGCAGAGCTTTTAATTAATTAGAATCATAGAATCCTTTAGGTTGGAAGAGACCTTCAAGATCATCAAGTCCAACCACCAGTGAGCTCCAGCCCGCTGGGGCAGGGGCTGCAGAAGCTGTCCCCTGGCAGTGATGCTTCTCCTCCCTCCTCTCACCAACCCCAAATTTTGACCCCAAAAAGGATACACTCCTTCAGCATCCTCTTCTTAATCACAAAATCTCAGGAGAGGGGAGGGATGTGCCAGCAAAGGAGCAACAGGAGGGCAGAGGAGGAGGCTGAGGCTTGGCTGGGACTCCCTGGGGAAGGGTGTCCCAGGCAAGAGGGAAAAGCAAACAGCCAGAAAAGAACCCAGAGACAAGGGAAGGGCGTAGACTCCTGCCAGGGATCTCCAATCAGGCCCGGGAGGCTTGGCTGCCTGCCCCATTAAAAGCCCAGCCCGGAGGCTGGGAAACCAGCGTGCCTCTGGGCAGGGAGAGGAAGAGGAGGATGAATGTCGGGGTGCTCCCTGCCAGGACCCAGCGAGCGGCCAGCAGCACCCCAGCGGGGATGAGCTGGACCCCAAGGGCAGCCCAGCAGCCCACGGGCATCCCCTCCAGGCCCCGGGCATCCTTCCTCATCCAGGACATCCTCTGGGACGGAGCGCGGCCGGAGCGGGGCCGGGGCGGGGGCAGCCCGGAGGATGCGGAGCCGGGGGCAGAGGGGATGA